AAGCAATATGGCGGTTATTGGTCTTGAACGATACCTGTCTCTTATACACATCTAGATGTGTATAAGAGACAGGTATAAAAACATAGAGTTGAAATTACTAGTTATCTATTGTCAATTATTGTATCAGGGAAAGTATTCCAGTGAGGAAATGCCGCTTGTTGGAAGTTCCAGCGAGAGAATGATCCCGAACACTTAAGAAAATTTGCTAAGTTGTGGCTTGAAGAACGGAATGCCAACCAAATGGAATGGTCGCCATCATCCCTTGACATAAACCTCATCGAAAATTTGTGGTCTGATATAAAGGGCACTCTAGGCCGATCTAAACCGACATCGATAACGCAACTATTGGAGGCTGTGAAGAACGAATGGGAGTATATTTCTACCGAAATGTTCCAAAAATTTGTAGACGTAATTAGTATTAAAAAATTAAGAGCACGCAACTAAATATAAACTTCTTAAAAACACAATATCGGATTTAAAAATAAAAATAAACTAGTAAGGAAAAGCTAAGTTAAGGTGTAACAAAGCATTTCATACTCTTGCCACTTGCAAGGATTAAAGCCAGGGAAGTACCTTCAGGTCTATAAGGCTTGTTAGTAATATCAGGGCTAGGGCGAGTTCTCACTCGATTTTATTCATTATAAGCACAAATATCACTGTTATAACAAAAACACATTCTGGTTGATGTATGTACACGGTATAAAGTCGTAGGAGAGCTAAGGAGAGTATTGCACGTTTTTTTTTGCACAAAGATATACTAAATATTCTATCTTAATTTCAATTATATATCTCACACATTGACCGATATTTTCGGTAAAAAGGCAACTACCCTGGTATAAGCACTGGATCCACATATTCGTGCAAAGTCTTATCCTTATATAGTAATTCTTTCTGTATTTGTATGCTGGAAAGTAAAAAATTTCAATTGAAATTTAAAATTGTGTTTATGGGAAGCAGGCGTGCCTGCAGTCTGATTTCGCCCATTTTCGCAGAAGATTGCGAAGTACCAATTTTTTTTTTGAAATCGGTTAAAAGGATCACTCATCGTCCAATTTTGACCCCAGCTACATTAAAGGCCTCTCATACATCTCGCGGGTAAAATTTAATAACTTCATTTATCGTGCCTTAAGTAGTTTTTAGCAGTACCGTTATATGGGGAGTGCGGTGAAGATGAATATTATTCCGAAATTGAAATATCGAAACATTTCTGTAGCTTCCGTTCTTGGGTTTTCCATTCTTGCCAAGCACCTGTTCAGATGTTTGAAGACCTTCTAAAATTCATAGGGGTTCAAGCATAGGGGTTCTTCTGATGGTATAGATAGATGGAATTAGTCTTCGTATCTCCGATTATAAATTTATATGTTCTAAAGTAGACATTTCGCATACCGCGCATATTTTAATATTTACATCTAAACTATGAAAAACAATTTTACAGCTATGTAATTCTTATAATTTTGATATATTTAATTCTACTTTTTGTTTGAGGTGATGTGGTGGTCCGTAGAACCAATTGCTACCCATTAACAATAAACTCTATGTCGAGCCAGCAATACTAAACATGGAAAAGAATCAGATTTTGGTAACCGGTGATTAAATAATTTAAAGTGGGTAGTGTTTAATAAAAACATAAATGTTGTTTTTTGAAAGAGTCGAAATCAGAAGAAAATATATTCAATCTGGTTATAGTTTACCATGAATGTCACGATCAAAAACAATCTTAACTTCGATGTTCTATGTTCGATACCACACATACATAATTTGCATATATGTTATGTCAGCCTAAAAATTCTCAATTCTTTAACTGAACTAATAAATTGTCCAAAAATGATCTTAAGAAATGTTATTACCTAATGGAACTTTTGAATCTCTATTTCTTGCGTCATTTGATATCAGTTATTTTTTTACTGCCACGGAGAGCAATTTCGTAAAAGCATCTCCATGTCAATAGATAACTTTATCGGCAAAACCAGCGAACTCATGTCAAAAAGTCTACACAATGAATTTGTGGTTTGAATGTCACAACAATGTATGCTAGTTGGCGACACAGATAATGAAAGCTGCATTACTTCCAATAAAGTTTAAAGGAAAGTCCAATGAATTAATGCCCAAAACTGACTTTGTTGAACTTCTAATAAAGAACGGACAATCACAGCGCTGTTGTGGCTCTGACTCTTTGAGCATGTTCCTCATCACTCACAATTTCTCACGAGCGTACATAACCGTACACACTGTCTCACGAATATTATTAATGTGCCATAAATAGACACAATTATAATTGTTTTATTCATATTGAAATTTTTATTGTTTGTTTGGATTAGGCGACTATTTATGACAGATAATGCATGCACCCGGACCTATTCTTCATGAACATAAGCGCGTCTATAAAAATTCAAGCGCACATAAAATTTCTTTTAACGTCACTTACTTGGTTTCGTCGGAGATGAGGAGCCAGTCAACCTCGTCGAAGTGATTGTCATAGAGATAGCGCAAGGCCAATTTTAAACGCTGCCATTTATGTTCGCGTATGGGACTCGGCTGACGTATGACCAACGGCTCTAACACTTCGTGCTGTGTCTCGCTGACGAACAACACGCGACTGCAATGATTGGACCAGGTTGTTTTGACTTTCAACGCTATTTGCGAGTCACTTGGATCAAGCAGTACAATTAGACAATAAATGGAAGGGTTTCCGTTCAAATTTTCTTCACTTGATTTTAGCCTGAAGATTTTATTACATAAATGCCGTTGATCACTTAGTACAATATAGATTGTGGTTAAAACGATTAAACAGATTAACGGCAAATAAATACATTTTGAATACTTTTGAAAACTATGCCGAACATTCGCGGCATTTGTAGGTAATAGCATCTTCGCCAGAGAAACTTTAAAGAACTACTAATTGCGCCTTCATAAGCAGTAAGCTGCATTCCACAAATACATAACTCTAGATAGAGTAATTGGTATTCTGTTATGTATTAGATAACGGAGTGTACAAAAAGATTAGGATTTAATTGATAATTGAACGGTACATCTCATATGCATAGCAAGCACAAATATCTGCGTATGTGCAACTGTTGAAGAAATTGCGTTTTAAGTCCCAAGCTCCAAAAATGGCTAAGATAATAGAGTCAGTTAAGCCATACTTGATGTCACAAGGGTGTAAAAAACGGTATCATTCAACAAAAAGAACAAATTGAAATCCTAAATACATTGTGACAAAAAAGCACCCGGAAATTGTGATTAAATTCCCCGGGTAAATGAATTTAGAAAAATGTATCTAGTATCCTGCTAAGTTGGTAGAACCGTCCTTAATTACTTTGCGAAATATGAGTGCGATCTGGGAACCAGTTTGCTTACAGCAGCTGCATAAGTCAGTACACTGCAGTAGTGCGTTGCGATTTTTACAATTGATAAAGAGCGGGAATTTGTCTCAAATTTTGCATTTCCACCTAAATTTCGTTTGCAGAATCGTAGCGAATGTTTGAAAGGGCTTACGGTGATTCTGTTTTATCAAAAACACAAGCCATCTCTCGTTCTGGACTACCTTCAACATTTTCAACTGTTGAAAATATTAAACAAGTAAAGGATGTGGTGCCTGAAAACCGTCAAACAAGCTTAAGAGAGATGGCGAATGATTTTGGTCGATATATTATGCATGAAATGCGTTTTTGCTCCACTCTCGATAAAGTTTTTTTTTTTCAAAACGAATACCTTAAACAGGTCCCTTTGGACATGATTGATCGTACGAATTCCGATCCAAGATTCATGCAGAGAATAATAACTGCCGATGAACATGGGTTTATGAGAAGCCGAAACCAAAAAACTACGCCAAAGCCGCTCAAAACCAGGGTAAATGATTCGAGCCGAATCTAACAAAAGTTAATCATGCACTAAACAATCTGAGCATGTCGCAATGCCACGACAATGTGAGCTCTAATAAATAGAAGAACTGACTGATTTCACTTAACTTTGACAATAAACTAAAGTACATTAGGGAACATGTTTCTACGAATTTGTAGGGTATAAAGTTAATCGGAAATTCGAAAAAACATTATACTTGGGAAATATGTTCTATTAAGAATTTATTGGAAATCGAATAGTATCATTTCGTCCATTCCACGAAATCTTCCAGTCACTATTTATTCCAGCTTCCATCTAAATTAATCTTCATTGATTTATATATTGAAAAGTGAAAAGACTGAAGACGTTGAAAATGGAATGTTAAGAGGGATTGGTTTTAGTACGATGTCACCCATTTTCAAATCGTTGGTTGAATTTATTAGAGTAGTTACTTAGGTATGAGATTTCTCCGAAGAGTTGTACCAAAAATAGTTCCCGTATTAGACCTAAATCACTTACGTCACTTAGAATAAAGTCGCAACTACAGAGAATTAGATAAAAAAGCGAGAGTGAGTAGATGAGGATGATAAATGATAAATTGAAATTAGTCACCTAAGCACATCAGGAGGAGACAAATATTTACTCATAAAGATGTGTGGGACTTCCACGTGTTACTAATAAAAACGGTTAGCAAATGAAGCAATACGTGATTGTAGTTGTCTGATAATGAAATATGCAAACAAATTGTCTAGTCTGAATTCATTGACAGTTGACTTATGAAGTGCAATTTGCGGGAGCTGCAATCGAGTTGCGCGTACGTTTTCACACACGCTCATCTGGTGGTGGCGATTAGTGTCTAACAATCTGCAGTGACGATAATTTTGATTGCTTATTTTAAACTCGGTGACAAATTTGTTATTGCGGTCGTTGAACCTTTTTGCTATTCTCATGCATATTCAAAAATATATAAACTTTTTTATACAACTAATCGAAGGTTATTGGCTCTCTTAGTGGAGAATTCGACGTAGAAGCAGTAGGACTGATTAGACAATTTAAAGGGGGGCATATCCTAGAATATATGCACATATGTATATATGACACGGCACCGTGAATAAAAGGAACGCCTGGTGAGCTGATTCTTAGGCGTTTAAGAGAAAGATTCTGAATCTTTTTGATTAGCAAAGGTGAATATGACATAGGATGTTGATTGAAGAGGAAATTTGAAAGAATAGACACCAACAAGTAACGCGAAAAAAATAGGCTACAGCATTAATTAAAACAAACGTCCTCTAGTACTTCTGTATACATATAATATATTATGTATTTGTATGATTTTTATCTAAGTAATTTTTGCCCATTCAATGCTGCAAAAGTAAATTATATAAACTGCTTTTTTAAGATCAGTCCAGGGGTGCTCAAACCAGATTCTAAAAATCTAACACTGATCTAAATTTATCGGGCGAAAACGAATACTATTTGCAGGATATGTTCATTACGAGCCAACCAGAGGAGTCATCATAATGAATGTGTGAAGTCTAGAAGAAGATGTTACACACTTTGGTGGAAACAATTCACGAAATTTATGATGTCTAATATACTTCAAAAAGTGTTTTTAATGACAGAGTTCGATCTCTTAATATATAGAATAATGCAACTGGATTTTATTCTTTACCATAAGCTTTTAACCTTCTGCCTTAACATTCTGAGGGCTTTCTCTTCGCAATATTGCCTCTATCACTCTTGTATGCAACGCTAAAACTATCTCGATTATTTAAAAATTGTACAAAGAACCATAAATTTAGAAAAGCCACTGTACTTCGGCTCAGTCTAATTAATTTGATATACATAGTACTCTGGGATCAATTATTTCATTTACATACATCCATAAATAATGGAGTTTAATTGGGGATTCATAAAATCGAAATTTCTTAAATCCAAAATCTCGTCCGCAAAAAGACTTCGTAAGCTATCTTCGAATTATATTATTTCTTCTGTAAAGTGAAATGGATTAAAACCACGAAACACAAATTAAGCATAAACATGAGCAAACTCATTGAATGCCATTGGCTACATTATTCAATGAAACCAAAATCGGCGAGCTTTCCAATGGTCATAACCCCAAATGAGCAAAACACTTAAAATATTTGACAGCATTTATTGAAAGACATACAAGTAAACCAGATTTAAGAAAGCAATAACAAGACAGTTGTCATATAAGAGTTATTATAATGATTTATAGGAGTTGAAAAATGAAAACACGTCAAAACAAGGTACGTACAAATGCACACTTCAATGACAGTGAAAAGTCAAAGTCAAGCATTGGGCGTGAATTCACGGTTGCCAAGTGAAAGTGTCGGCATATACCTCGGAGCTGCACGTTTTGTAACCATCAACATATGTATGTGTGCTGCCTGACCCTTATGCTTTGATCTCTGGCTAAGCTAACCGCTGAATAAAGTTAACGATTTATTGAACAAAGCTTTTACGCCAACGAGTCTTAAAAACAATAGGAAATTTACGGTGTTTCGGCAGCAGCAAGTCATTGAAGCCTTTTAATTTTCTGATAGGCTCAAGATGCCAACAATAACCATCTTTGGATATACAACAATTAAATTCCAAAGTACTCAGCGAAAATAGTAGTCTGCACCTGAACTAAAACGAACTAGTCTGAAAAAACTCAATATTTATGTTTAAAGGTTGCAGCAAGATGTTCAAAAATATAGAGCGATTTCTTGTAGTTTTATATGTTTTAGCGAGCTGCCACTTTTTATTTGTCTTTATAAGTTTTTTTCGGTTTTCTGCACCGAGCGCCGTATTTATTCATAAATGATTTATCCAAAGAAGGAATTAAAAAAACCTAAACAATTATTGATGATGTCCGTAAAAAGATGTTGATCGAGATAAGCGCACTCCAATGCTCTAAAGCTCATGAAAAATGGATTTGTGAAAGCTTTGTCTAAAAGTCTTGGCCACAATCTATCGATCCATCAGGTCAAAACTCAATAAAAACGACTATATTTCACAGTTACCAATGCAAGGAGTGTACGAGTAGAGAACCAAAACTTATTTTTTTAAGAGCATCATTTTCGGTCATATTTTAAGTAACTTTATGAAATCACCTAGTAAGGTATCTGCGTATTGTCAGTAAAAAAGGTAGTCGACAGACTGTTTGGATATTAGTAACGAACCAGTTAAAAGTTACTTATCAACTAGTCCCTTTCTTATCGGGATATATGATTAAGTAAATATAAACATATACATGTGCGTGCATAATTACAGTTTGTCACGCGTGGCCGCCAAGGCATCTCATCTCCATCGCAATCAGCACCGGCATCGCCATCTCCACTCAACACATCTCATTTCAATTCGAATTTGTAAACGCACGAAGATAAGTGCATGCATAAGTATGCGTATGTATGTTTGAGTTCGTAAGTGAATGAATTTTCGAATTCTCAATTGAAAGACCATATGTGACCCGCACCATGAAAGTGAAACCGGTTTCGGGCGCGTTATTAAATGACTAGGACAACGTCGGTTTGCAGCGGCTTCCATGGCTATAATGGCTTCAGCGGTTACGAACGAGTTTACTTCGCTGTGGCGTGACGCATTGAACGTCACTGACGCGTCGGCTACGATTTTGCTGTTGACCCACTTTTCGAAAACTCGCTTCGAGCTGACTCTAAGCCGTCGCAAATTGCAGTGGTCTGCTCTCTGGCTTGGTGTGGAAATCCACGGGAGGAATTGCTGATTGCGCGAGCGTGAATTCAAATTATTGAACGCTATCGAATTATATACATAAATACTATTTATGTTTTTCTTTGGACTTTTATCATTTATTCGCTGATCGGATTTAAATTTGTATCTTCGTAGCTGATACTATCTGGGGAATTACACATATAAACATGTCTTATTAGGGTTTAAACTGAGCTGGCCTCAATTGATTGATATAAAATTATGCAACTATATTTTATATTATTTCCTAAAATACTGAAAATATTACTCCAACTGATTCAGCAGTCTACAAGCTTTGTTTTAGACCACATTATTCTTCCTAAACTCCATTATTTTATACTAAGAAGTATTATTATTTTTTTTTTGCCGATGAGGCGGTGGAAAATGCCTTCCGCATCATCGTCACAGCAGCGGTATGTGCCACTTGCAGGTCACTTAAAACCTCACCCCCCCACTCTAAAGAACCGTCGCCAATCCTGGGACTGCATTTTCATTACTTCGTGGTGGCGTACCATTTTTCTCATTGAGAGATTTACATCTGCACACCTGCGACCAGGTCTAGCAAGAGTGCTGCGTATTTCTGGATGATCCCCAGTTTGCTTCGCTCTCCAACATGACGCTGATTAAATTGTCAGCGTTTATTGGGCAGCCCATGTCTTCTACGGCGGTGTGTTCTCCTTGTCAGCGCTCACATTCGAAGAATTCACACATTCTGTCGCATCGTTGTATAGGCATAACGGCTCTTCGACTTTTCCCATTCTGTAGAGGTACTTTTTGAAGTATCCGTGGCCGGATAACAGCTGGGTTGAGTAAAAGTCTACTTCTCCGAATTTACGACTTGTCCATAAATCTATATCTTTTATCAGCCTGGCCGTCCATCYGCCGCGACTTTCATTCTCCCATCTTTGTTGCCATGATATTATCAGAGATAATGAGATGTTTAACTCCTCTCTCACTGGAAGTGAGAGAACAATTGCTAAACGTCAAAACCACCTAAACTTTGACAGTTGATCGAGTTCA